AGGGCGTAGGGTTTAGGGCTTGGGGTTTAGGGCTTGGTGTTTAGGGCTTAGGGTTTAGGGTTTAGGGCTTCGGGCCCATTTAAGAGATCCTTTTGAGGTTTCCTTTAATTAAGGATTGCTTTTTCAGGGTGAAGGGTTCCTTTAAGGCTTCCTTCCAGGGATCTGCAAAAGTTGCATAAGAGTTCTATACAAGTCTGAGTTTCGGGCTCTAGAGCTTTGATGCTTTGATGCTTAGCTTGCGGGATTGATGGATTCGAGGCTCACAGGACCCGCATGGACTGATAATGACGGGGAAGACAAAGAAGGATTGCCCATTCACCCCTGGACATCAGAGCCGAAAACAACACGTATTCTGCAACTCCTCAGCCCCAAACCCGATAGCAGCCCAGACCACAATGAAGAAACCCCAAACCCAAACCCCAAGGCACAAACACTAAAATCCCAAACCCCGGTGCCGTCACTTGAACCGCTAAAGCCACAACTTGGGCTTGCGACTCGTGGCTTCGACTTCAGGTGTCGAGTCCAAGGTGAGTGCGTGATCACAGGGCTGCGGGTGAATCTTCGGGGGACTGTTTGGTGCAAACTCGTCAAGAATCGTACAACCTGTTCAGGACACTGTCGGTCTGTGCCAGCTAAGATGGAATCGGCATCGTCATTATAATCTTCTTCAGCCCCATTGACACGAAGGAGCCAGCACGCGTAGTCACACTCCCTAGACCTCTGAGTAAACATCATACCGTAAACCCCAAACCCGAAACCTTGTACCGGGCACAAGAAACCCCAAACTGAAAGCCCCAACCCCAAGCCCCTGCACCCTGAACCCCAAAAAAACCTAAACCCATACCCGAAACCCTAAACCCGAAACCCGAAACCCCAAAAACCCCTAAAACCTAGACCCCTAAATCCTAAATCCTAAAACCCCAAACCCTAAACCCTGGATCCCGGAGCCAAAGGCACTCTGAAGGCCGGTCGCCCGGCGTCGGGAGCCCTCCGCTGCTCCGCTGGCGCCAGGAGCCCCCGGGAGGCGCCCGAGGCCTTGCCGGGAGCTCTTTTTTAGGGCTTAACGGTATAAGCTTAAGGGTTTAGGGTTTAGGGTTTAGGGTTTAGGGTTTAGGGTTTAGGGGTTTGGGCTTAGGGTTTAGGGTTTAGGGTTGAGGGGTTTGGGTTTTGGGTTTAGAGGATCTCTTTTAAGAGCTTAACGGTATAAGGGCTGAGGGTTTAGGGTTTAAGGTTTAGGGGTTTAGCGTTTAGGGGTTTGGGTTTAGGGCTTGGGGTTTAGGGTTTAGGGTTTAGGGCTTAGGGTTTAGGGTTTAGGGTTTAGGGTTTAGGGTTCAGGGTTTAGGGAATCTGTTTTGGGGCTTGACTGGGTTGGCCTTTAAATCCTCAGAAAAAATATGTTTTTGAAGGGTCCCTCATAAACCCAAATAGGGAACCTAGTTAATGTTATAAGGGCTGAGGGTGTGGGGTTGAAAGTTTAGGGTTTATGGGTTTGGGGTTGAGGGGTTTGGGGGTTTAGGGCGCAGGCTTGGCTTTGGCTGGGAGGGCCCAGGGTTCAGGGTCGAGGCCTGCGGGGGTGGACTTGTTCCGCTCGGGCATCGAAAGGTCCTGCGCGCGGAAAGGGCGGGCTTTGGGAAGGCTTAGGAGCTTAAGGCATGGCTACTTTAAGGATACCATGAGGTTAAGGGCTACGGCTAGGGTCCCGAGATGCACAACGACTTTCCGATGAGGGTTAGGTGCCGCTCTGACCCGGAAAGCCCAAATCCAGAATCCGAAACCCTAAACCCCAACCCTAAACCCCAAGCCCTAACCCTGACCCCTCAACCCAAAGCCCCAAACCCTGAACCCTACACCCTAAACCCGAAACCCTAAACGGTCCTGGTCGGAGCCCGAAGCCGTGGATCGAGTCGCAAAGGACACCGCCGGAGCGCAGACCAGGCGGCCAGCTCTCAAACGCTCCGCGCCCCGGAGCTCCTGCGAGGGATTTTTTTTTTAGGAATACCCGGCAATGACTCCTTACGCAAGAGCCCCCGAACGGTGTTTGCTTTGGATTCAGGATGTTTTGGGCTTCTGGGCTTGCTTGCAGCAGCTTCGCCGTTGTGCAGGGTCCATAAACCCTAAACCCTAAACCCTAAACGAATCCCGTCCTCCGCGACCCCCGCCTCTTCATGCGCCACATCGATGTAAAGGTCCGTCTCGTCAACGATCTCTTCGTTGATGAGCTCCTAAAGGACCCAGTCCTAAGGAGTGCTTAAAGGAAGCCTCAAAGGGACCCTTACAGGGAACCCTGCAGGAACCCGTAAAGCCCTGAAGGCTTACAGCACTGAGCTTTTGGAGTTCAGGAGCTTCGATGTTTGGGGCTTCCGGCATGGGGGCTGCGAGCAGAAGATGTCCGACCGAACCCTACCGCCCAAACCTTGGACCATCGACCCCAACCTTGCTTAGGGCTTCAAGGGTTTGGGGTTTGGGGTTTGGGGTGTAGGGTTCTTTGCGTCAAGGGTCAAGGGTCCAGGGTTTAGGGTCTTAGAATTTCAAGGGTTGTTAAAGCTCTTCGGGTTTAGGGTCTCGGGTTTCTGTCTTGTGCTTTCGGTCTTGCATTTCGGGTGTTAGGGAACCCCCGAGACCCTCGGGCCTGTGCTGTGGGTTTGGGGCCCATGCTCTCAGGAATGGAGAAGCCTCTGGGTTGAGGGTCTAGGGTTTAGGTTTTAGGGTTTAGCGGTGTAGGGTTTAGGGTTTAGGGCTGCGGGTTTAGGGTTTAGGGTTTAGGGTTTAGGGTCTAGGGTCTAGGGGTTTAGGGTGTACTGAGCTTCGGGCTGAGACGGCGTCACCAAAAAGAGGGATGCTGCTCTTGGTTCAGGATTTGGGTTCAGGGCAGGGCTCAGGGGACGCTTGGGACATGCATCCCCAAAAAAACTTAGGGGTTTAGGGGTTCAGGGTTTAGGGTTTAAGTCACTGCTGTGGGCTATCAGTCCGGTCGAGATCTGACAAGGCCGTTGCAAAAAAGGGTTTAGGGTTTAGACACAGCTCCTCGATCAGGTCTTCCAGGGTCAGAATGCCAAGGGGAGGAACGTCCAGAGGAGCCAGGTTGTCTCCAAGTTCCGTTTCCCGAGGGTACACCACAGCCATGTGTGTTTGACCTGCCGGCCAAATATGCTGCCAATCAGAGACGAAGCTGGGAAAACACCACAGTTGGCCACTTACATGAAGAAAGAGACTGGGAGACCTAGCGAGAACTGTGAGAGATGGGGGGAGAGAGAGAGAGAGAGAGAGAAAGAGGGACAGTGAGAGACGTTGATAGACGAAGAAGGGGAGCGAGGGAGAGAGAGTGAGAGAGGAGGGAGATGGATGGCACTGTATGTAACAACAAGAGGACCGAAGACATGGTATTGAAGGTATCGGCTATGTTCCCTTACGCCAGCCTGTTTGGAAGATGTCCAAGATCTTGTACAACGGTTCATCTTCCACCACCTGAAGCCCGAAACCCTGCAAAGCAATCCGGGCACTTTGAGGGGGTCTCCCCCTAAACCCTAAACCCTAATAAACCCTAATGAACCCTAAGCAACCCTAATAAACCCTAATAAATCCTAATAAATCCTAATAAATACGAATGAATCCTAATAAACCCTAAACCCTTGGTCTCCTGGTGGTTGTTGTGTCCTCGCGGTCTTCCTGGTGGTCTCATGATCCCCTCGCGGTCTCCTAGTTGTCGTCGTATCATGAACCCCTTGGCTTCAGAAGGCCTGGCCAATCAGCCTACAACACCGTAGATGCTGCTAAACCTGGTGTAAAACCTCCCAAACTGTTTACAAAACCTATGACAGGCCTTGACAAGGGGGCTGAGCCGCTGTGTGGAGACTGGCCAGGCGTCCTCAGGCCTCCCCAGTGGATGGAGAAGCTACCCCAGACAAAGGTTGAGTATCTAGGGCTCGGGTGTAGAGCTCAGGGTTTTTAAGCGTGTTGACTAGCAACTAGCACTTTCGTCGTACCGCCTGCCCACGGTTGCTCCACTTGGGTCCCAAACTGAAGTGAGCGTTTAGGGCGTCAGGGTTTCAGGACCCAGGGCTGAAGGGGTGTCAGGGATTTAGCGCGCTTCGGGTTGGGGGGTTTTAGGATGTAGGCTTTGGGACTCCAGTGCCATATTCAAGATTATAAGAGCAGAACATAACGCACACAGTTGTGAAGATATCGAAATCGATAACCGTCGCAAGAACCAAATGGCAAGGCAAAGAACACAATAGCTGCAATGGCAATCAGAGCGAAAGTAATGTTGGCAATGTCACTGACTGGCATGATGGCAGTGATGCTATTGATGACAGCGTTCATCAGACAGCAAGGTCTTGACCAAGCGAAGTGGACATGGCAATGACGATTCCTGAAATAAGATGATCGCCGATAGTAACATGTAAGCAGCAACACTACCAGTCGTGACGTTGGCATTCAGTCTGAAGTGCATAAAACTACTCCTGTTATTCGCAATATACTTATTGCTATCATTCTTATGACTATTGAAACTTACTTTTGATGCAATTCTCAATGCTCACTCTTCTCATGATTCAATCCACAACAACGCGCTTAGCAGCTCGAATCCTGCAAAGGACAAGCTGCAACTGGATGCAAGGCTTCCGGCGTAGGGTGCTTGCCAGCTAGTGTTTCGGATTTGGGGGGCTTCGGGTCGCGGGGTAGGTGTTGAGAGTTCCGGGTTTGGGGTTCAGGGTTTCGGGGGTTCAGTGTTTAGGGTTGGTCTCGGAACTACAACCCCCGAAAAACGGGAGAGCCCACTAAACAGGTTGGGCCTACCCCTAAACTCTGAACTCGACGTCTCTTCTTCGGGCCTGAGCCCCAAACCCTAAACCCTAAACCCCAAGCCCTAAACCCCAAGCCCTGAACCCTAAGCCCCAAACCCAAAGCCCTAAACTTGAGTCAAACTTAAAGCCTAAACCCGAAGCCCTAAACCCAACTCAAACTTAAGCCCCAAGCCTCTAAGCCCTAAGCCCTAAACTCAACTCAAACTTAAACCCTAAGCCCTGAGCCCTAAACTTAACCCAAGCTTAAACCCTAAGCCCTGAGCCCTAGGCTTTGCGGCCTCAGCTTGATGAGCCTCTTGATGAGGAGGACCCCCAGGAACTTCTCAGGCTTTCCGGGCTCGTGCACCTCGGAAGGTCGGCTTCTTCTCTTTCGGGGTTTAGGGTTTAAGGGTTTCAGATCAGGGTTTAGGGTTTAGGGTTTAGGGTTCCCGAGGGGCTTAGGGGCCCGGGTATTGGGTGCAGGGTTCTGTTTTTCTTTTTAAGGGCCCTTTTCTGGGGTTTGGGGCTTAGGGCTTAGGGAGGGTTTCAAGCAGAACCAGAAGCCTGGAGGCAGGTTTTGGGGCTTGTGCAACTTGTCGACGGCTCGCTGCAGGTGTTCAGGTTGTCCTTCCAGCTCTTCGACGAGCTGGCAAGTGTTAGTACTGATGTAGGGGTTACCAAAAACCCTACACCCTAAACCCTCTTTATGCTTGTTGTCTCATCCTCTCAGGTTTCGACCCTCGGGACTCGATCTCGAGCCTCACAGGGTAAAGCTCTGCAAGAGGCTATGAGTTCTTAGCATCAGACTCTAAGAGCTTTTAGGGTTTTTTTAGGGCTTTTAGGGTTTAGGGTTCAAACTGCACAGGATCCTAGAGAGCTGTATGCACATTACGTCCCGAAACACTCCCCAAGACATGTAGAAATGAAAGATAAAAACCCCAAATTTCAAGCCGTTAAACTTGCCGCAAAACCTGAATACCAAAACTGTAAATCCCAAGCCATCTGTAGGGCCATCTATATATGGTCCCTCATTACCTGAAACTCCCAGGGAGACGCACGTGCAGATCCCACCCGGATCCTCATCGAGTGTGCAGGGCATTCGGTATAGGGCTTAAAGGTTAAAGGTTGAGATCTTTAGGGTTATCGGTCAAAGAACTCACGGTTTCTGGTATGTTCACCCTCCCAGCAACACCAAGGCACCGGTATTCGGGAGTGGCCCGTTTGCACGATCCAGTCCATGGTAGCCTCGCCCAGAGAACTAGTGTATTGTTTTTTTTTGGTTCAGGCGCTTGGCTTCGGGGGAGTGTGCAGTGTCAAGCGACGCTCAAGAAAGGATGACGGAAAAGACTGCAGCTTCGTAGTGGTGACCTTCAGATTAAGGTTTGAGGTGTAGGGGTTGAGAGGGTTTGAGGCGGAAACTCGTCTACAGTAATGGCAGATGGCATGCCAGTCATTTTGCGTGCCCATGCCTGCGCGAGACCGTTTTCGGTGCCGGCGAATGTGCTTCCCAGAGACAAGCACCCGAAACCCAAAACCTCCAACAGATGTCTAGAAATCACAGGCATGCCTTATTAGTGGCAGTAGTCGTCGTCGACGTCGCATCAGCAGCAGCAGGAGGAGAAGTGGTGGTAGTTGTAGTAGTAGTAATAATAGCAGCAGCAGCAGCAGCAGCAGCAGCAGCAGGAGTAGTAGTAGTAGTAGTAGTAGTAGTAGTAGGCAGTAGTAGTAGTAGTAGTAGTAGTAGTAGTAGGCAGCAGTAGAAGTAGTAGTAGTAGTAGTAGAAGTAGTAGTAGTAGTAGTAGTAGTAGTAGTAGTAGCAGAAGATGCAGCAGGACGGAGTAGAACGGAGCAGAACGAAACCGGAAGGATCAGGGTGGCAAAAACAGAAAAGCAGAAAAGTAGAGGAGCAGAAGAAGGAATCAGCAAAGCGGAAAAAGCGGAGGAGCAAGAAAAACATGAAAAGCAGATAAGCAGGGCAACCTGTGATTGATGTTTCGTTTGCTTGTCGCTTTCGGCTTGATTTTGATTTTCTGTGTCTCTGCTTTTCCGCTTTTAATTGTTTCTGCCTCCTCTTTCTCAAAGTCTCTACTCCCTTTTCGAGCGGGTTGCGCTGTGTTCTCAAACTCTCTATAGTCCTCTTCGCGCTTGTTCTTTCTTTTTATCAAACTCGCTAGTTCCTTTCGAGCGGTTTGCACCTCTTTCTGAAATTCTCTAGTCCCTTTCGAGCTTGTTCCTCCTGTTTCTCAAACTCTCTAGTCCCTTTCGAGGGGTTTCTCCCCTTTCCCAAATACCCTAGTGCCTTTTGAGCTTGTTCTTTCTTCTTATCAAACTCTCTAGTCCCTTTCGA